CTGTTGAGAAATCAGTTGATATTCTAATGGGAGATCCCTTGTAGGTAACTTCTGTCTCTCTCTGGCAGCCTTTAAGATTCTTACTTTGTAGTTGATGTTAGCCAATTTAATTATGATGTGTCTTGGTGTTAGTCTTTTGGGGTTCATCTTGTTTAGGACTTTATGTGCTTCTTGGACTTGTGTAGTTTTTTTCTTTCCAATAACAGGAAAGTTTTCTGTCATTATTTCTTCAAACAGGTTTCCTATTCCTTGCTTTGCTTCCTCTCCTTCTGGTAGCCCTATTATGTGGATTTTGTTTCATTTTGTGTTGTCCCAAAGCTCCCTTAGGCTCTCCTCTTGCTTTTTAATTTTTCTTTCCACTTGCTGCTGTGTTTGTGTGTTTTTTCCTACCTTGTCTTCTAATTAGCTGATGCGGTTCTCAGCCCCTTCTAGTCTACTGTTTAAACCTTCCATTGTGTTCTTTATTGAATCTTTGTCATTCTTCATTTCCTCTTGTTTCCTTTTCATGTTGGTGACATTCTTATTCAGCTCCTTATAATTCTCATTGAGTTGTGTGTATTTGTTATCCAGTCATTTGAGCATCCTTATAACCATTACTCTGAATTCTTTCTCTGACATGTTACTTGCCTCCATTTCATTTAACTTCCTTTTTGGTGATTCTCTTTTTCTTTCCTTTAGGGATTGCTTTTTTGTCTCCCCATGTTTTGCTGTAACATTTTAATTGTTTCTGTGTCCTAGATCTGACTGCTTTGCTACCCAGGATCTTTTGGGGATGGTGCTCCTGGTGTGATCTCTCAGATCTCCTGGGCTTGGTAATCTAGCATAGCTCCCTACTTGAGTTATTTGAGTTCTCTTGATGTAGTTGGATCTTGAATATTAGTTTCTTATTCATGGATGATGTCTTGTCACGGGTTAGCAAGGTGACTCACCCCAAGCTTCATTGTGCAAGCAGTTTTGGATATGATTGTGGTTCTGGCTCTTGTGGAAAAGGTTGTCTAAGGTCTCACTGGTATGTGCTTGCTGTGGGTTCACAGGGTCCATGGCCTGGGAGGAAGAAGTCTTGGGGCCTGAGGCTCAGGAACTGTGACTTTGGCTGGTGTGGTGTGACTCTTGCTAGATTAACATCACTCTGCAACTCACTATGAGAGGCCCTCAGCCTGTGACAGTGGTAGGAGGGTGTCTCATAGTCTGCGGTTGAGGCAGTGGGACTCTGGCCAAAGTGATTTCTCTCTCTGAATCACAAAATCAGGATCCAGCAGCAGGCTGTCCAGAGGTAGGTAGCCAGCAGGGGGATGTCATGAATCCTACTGAGGGAGTTGTTCGCCCTTGGTTGGAGAGGCACACACTCAGTGGCAGCACACAGAGGGGTGCAGGAGCTGTCTGCAAGGGGTGTGTGCTTATGGGGCCCATATGCTGGATCGGAGTAATTGCGGTGTGCCACTGGCCCCATGAAGGGAGAAGTCTCAGTTTCTGCTTTAGGGGCTATATGCCCTTGGTTGGATATGGATGCCCAGTGGCTTCTTACAGAGGTGCCCAGTAGCCGTCTGCTGGGACAGTGGGCTCACAGACCCCTTGTGCTAGAGTGGCACTACTGCAGGGACTGGATGCCAGCAGCTGGGTTTGTGCCTTTTGGCAGCTCAAGAAGTACCCAGGGGCCACCTGCTGGGGCAGTGGGCTCAGGGGCCTTGCACGCTGGATCGGTGCAACTGTAGTGACCGGAGGTCAGCAGTGAGGAGGAGGAAGTACGAATTTCTGCTGCCAGGGCCTTGAGCCCTTAGCTGGATATGAATGCACATAGTCGCAGCTCACAGAGGCACCCAGGAGTTGCCTGCTGGGGCAGTGGCCTCTGGGGACATTCGTGCTGAAACCACACGACCACGGTGTCTGTGGGTATGCAGCCCGGAAGGGGAAGTCCAAATTTCTACTGCCAGGTCGTGCATCCTTGTGTGGATATGAGCACATCCATCTGGGGCTTAAGGAGGCACCCAGGATCTGCCTATAGGGGCAGCAGGCTTAGTAGGCCTGCATGCTAGAAAGGCACACTGCGGTGTCCAGAAGTCAGCAGCCTGGGAGGGGGATGTTCCAATTTTTGCTGCCTTGCACCCTTTGTTAAAATTGCACATACCCATCGGGGGCTCACAGAGGCACCCAGGAGCCATCTGTAGGGGTGGTGGGGCTCAGGAGGCCTGCACTCTGGAAAAGTGCATCTGTGGAGGTGTGTTTGCCAGCGCAGTGTACTGACCCACTCTGAGGGGCCGTGGCTCTGACGTCGTGCAACCAAGGTGTCTGTGGGTAGGTATCCAGGAAGAGCGAATTCAGAATTTCTATTGCCAGGGCAGTGCAGCCTGGTTTGTGTAAGATCACACCCAGCAGGAGCTCATAGCGGCACCCAAGAGCTGCCTGTGGAGCAATGGGCTCAGGAGGCCTATGAACTAGAAATGCACAATTGTGGTGTCCAGAGGTCTGCCACTGGGGAAGGAGGAGGTCACACTTACTGCTGCAGGAGGTGTGTACCTTTGGAGGTGGAGGTCCTAGGCTCTGCTGGCCTGCAGGTGAGGCAGCAGGATTTTGGTTGGAATGGCTGCAGGGTCGCAGGCAGTGTGCAAGGGCTGTCTGGGCGGTGGTGCTGATGAGTTCCTAGAAGAGGCCACTCTCCCCTTCAAGATGGCATGGGCTCCATGCCCAAGTCCCACAGCCTGGGGAGTGTCTGCAGTTGTGGTATGTTCTCCATGTCCAGTAGCTAGCCCCTGCTACTCCTGCCAGATTTAACTGTCCCCCACAAACACACACACAAACACACAAACACACATACACACACACACATACACACACACACCACACATCCACACACTCTTCTTTCACCCCCTCACTTGCTCACATCCTCTCCTCAATTCCATCCTGCCAAACGTCATCTTCTATTCCACTTTTCATCACTTTATATACTTCATGCCACTCCCTTCTGGTTTGATGTGTTTCTATTGAGAAATCAATTGATACTCTAATGGGAGATCCCTTGTAAGTAACTTTCTAACTCTCTCTTGCTGCCTTTAAGATTTTCTTTGTCTTTTACATTTGCCAATTTAATTATAATGTGTCTTGATGTAGGTTGTTTTGGGTTCATCTTGATTGGGACTCTCTCATTTTGGCTATCTCTTTGAATTTGCTTCTATATAATTAGTAGATCTGCCACTTCTCCCAGTCTTGGCAGAGTCACCTTATATAGTGGTGTCCTGATTGGTCCAGTGATTCATTGCACCTGGTCACCTATACTGAGTTCTCTAGGGGTGTCTTTTGTGTGAGTTATATGTACTCTCCTGTTAGAGTTGACCTTGATTGCTGTTTGCACATCAATTGGTGGGACTGACCCTCAGGTCGACTGGCTATGACAATAGCAGAAAAGCTACTGTGTGTGTGATGACTCCATAGAGCGGGATTTGCTTTAGCAGGTCTCTGGTGCCTGACAAGCGCACCTTTTGCATGTGCTATTTGTGGATCTTATTAGAGAGTGCCCTGGTGTGATCTAAAGCTGGCCAATGGTATGTTGGTACTGGGACCTCTTTGGAAAGGCTCTGGTGAAGGCTAAGATTAGCGGCTACCTATGTCTGCCTGTGGTCATCTGGTAAGAGCTATAAACTTATCTGTGGTTGGTAGCTGCCTATGCTGGACTTGGAAGTGACTGAGGCCTGCTGCTACTGATGCCAGACTTGGGGCCACTGCCAAGAGTTGCCAGACTGCTTGTTTGGGATATGAAAGTCTGCATTTTGGGGCCAGTTAATTGCTATAAAACATCTGTGCTTTAGGTGAATTAGCCTCTGAAAAAGATTTGGGCCAGGTGGTTAAATTGGGTCAGTATCACCAGTGTGGGGCGAGAGTGGCTTAAGCCAGATAAATGGAGAATCAGATTTGGTGTTTACTTGCACTTGCCAGCTGTGTGGGAGGGGTCAACAAAAACAATGGCACTTGCCAGCACTTTAGTTCAGAGAGAGCTGCCCCTCCAGCCCTCACCCTGAAGCCAGACAATTCAGTTCCTCTCCTGTCCCAGGCTTTTTTGAGCTGCTGCCCTGTCTCTAGAGTTTAGGGCTAGTGTTTGTAGACACCTGTGTTCACAGCAGCCCTGTCTCACCTGGATGGAGACCCTGCTGGCTTTCATGGCCAACTGTTTGGGGGAATTCTATTTCTCACACTGGTACTCCAGGCGAGGGAAGCCAGTTTGGGACTGCTGCCCCTTTCTCCTCAGTGGGCACGTGCGCAGCCAAGATATGCCTCCTGATTCTCAAACACTGCACGTGGATGTGGGACCTGCCTGATTCACATCTCCGTCCTTCCTTACCAATCTCGACATTGCTTATTCCTTATATCCTTAGTTATAGGAGTTCTGTTCAGCCAATCTTCACATGGTTCTCATGGGTGGCTGTTCTATAATTTAGTTGTAATTTCAATGTGGTCATGCGAGGAGATGAGCATAGCATTTGTCCACTCTGTTATCTTGACCTAAAATCTTCAAGCTGCATTTGTGAGGGAACTTTGAAAGACCGCGTTGAGTTGATTCTGTGACCTGTGCCAAGTAGACATTCTTAAGGCTAAAGGTTTTAAACACCTCATTCCTCCGCTTTCTTTGTATCTGATCCAGAACTTCATGTCTTCAAAGCAGCCTGGAATAACATATTTTGTGAATAAGAGTTTTTTGTTCCCTTTGTTGACCAGATAATTGCTATAGAAGAGTGATGGTGAACTTTTTGAGCTCGGCGTGTCAAAATTTTGAAAAATCCTAACTTAACTCTGGTGCCGTGTCACATATAGAAATATTCACAATTTTTTTTTATATACTTGCAACCATAGTAAAAAAAGATTTATATTTTTGATATTTATTTTATATAGTTAAATGCCATTTAACAAAGAAAAATCAACCAAAAAAATGTATAAAGTGAACAAAAACAATGTACATTTAGGAAGAAATAATAATAAAAGCAATGATAATCAAATGGTATGAAAACTAGAAATTAATGACTTTTTTGGTGCTGAAGTTTGTCTGCTAATTCTTTGATTGCAGGTTCATACTTGGTGCACATCAAGTCCAAACAAGCGCCACTAACTTCATCTGTTAGCCGGTTTCTTTTGTTCGTTTTAATATTATTTAGTGCTGAGAACAAAGTCTCACGAAAATATGTTGATAAAAAAAATTGTTGTTTCCACGTTAAGTCGACAAACACATGAGTCCAAATGCTACCTTGAAAATCTGCAGGTTTCATCTCTAAATCGTCAATTTGCATCCATTGGAAATCCTTTAATTCCAAAGTACTGTAAACAACTACATCCGGATACTTAATTATTTTAATGGTCTGTTCTAGGCTTCTAAATTGGTTGAATCTTTCACTGAACTGTTCAAATAACGTGTTACTATTTTCTGGTACACAAGTATGGACTCCATTACACTCGTTGTAGTGGCCTTCTCAAAATATTTTTTTATCTGAGAAAAATATTTACAAGTTTTAGCTTCAATATCTCGTTTGAAAATTTTGTTTACTTTCAAAAGATTTTATGTATCCAAACATAACGTCAATACTTTTCCCAAAACCTTGTAATTTTAAGTTCAGTTCTTTCATATGAACAGAAAGATGTGTAAAAAACATCAAATTGCTAACCCACTTATGATCATTGATCTGAGGAAAGTTTGCCAGGTTCTTATTCTCAATAAATACCGTAATTTCTTCAAAGCACTCCACAAATTGCTCAAGTACTTTACCTCGACTCAGCCATCTCACATTATTGAACATCAGTAGTCCACTAT